CGGACTCAGACGTTGCGCGAGGCAGAGGAGCGCGCACGCTACTCCCGGGTTCCCCAGGCGTTTCAAGCGCCTTGAACCCGGCTTCCCCGGCCGCGTTCCCTGCGGATGGGACGGGCTCGGCTACCCCTTTAAGTGTCAAAGCAGAGCGTTCGGTTTGGATTTCAGGTGGATCCAAACCCGGAAAGCCCACCTTCGCTCTGGTTTTGTTTTTTCAGCGGAGGGAAGGAAAAAGGACGTTGGTGGTCGTGATGGAAAAACCCAGGTCGAAGTTGGTCACGATCTCAGCTGCAAACCTCTCCAAATCGGAGGCCGGGATTTTTCCATCACGACCTTTTTATGTGCTGGTTCTTCCCCTCTCCCATGTTTTTAATGTCAGTCAGCTCATAATTCTTGGCTCTTCTTCTGTAGAACAGCCTAAAGGAATATTTAGAGGAAATGACAAAATGCGTTTAAAAGAAGAAGAAGAAAAAAATTACTCGAGCACCAGGGCCCTTTCTTTAAAGATGTCGGTGACACCCTGTGGATGTCTTCAGTTGTCATCGGTTAAAAAGCTGATGGAATATAACCCTCTGGAGAAGCATTTGGTTGGTTTAAAAAGCCCTACTCGCTTTTGAAGCATCTGCAGAAAAGGAGTGAGTAGGCCTGCAATGTGGCTTTTGGACCATACACTTGGGTGCTCCAAGTCTGTTTAACTCCCTCCCAGTTCTTCCTTCCAGCCTTGGTCATGCTTTTGCTCCTTCCTCTTTCTATCATGAGAACTTCTGAGACCTTTTCATGACATTTGCCAGTCTTGCAAGGTACTACCGACCCCCTCCTGGTATTTGGGTACCATAACACCTCGTGCATGGGAGCCTGACATAAATTAACATCTGTATGCCTCTCTGCTCTGACAGCTTAAGGGAAAGTGGACAGGATAGAGAGCCTCTATATACCCCTTTCTGCTTATGCTGAGCCCCAAGACCTAGATAGATAGATAGATGGATAGATAGATGGTAGATAGATAGATGATAGATAGATGGTAGATAGATGGTAGATAGATAGATGATAGATAGATGGATGACAGATAGATTA